CCATAGAGTTCTGTAAATATGCAACGTAAATATGTAGATTTTATTTAAGAGAGAGAGATCACACAAGTGGGAGGGAGGGAAAGGGGGAAAGGGCGAAGCAGACTCCCCGCTGAGCAGAGAGCCCAATGCAGGGCTCCATCCCAGAATCCCAGGATCATGACCTGAGCTGAAAGCAGTCGGTTAACTGACTGAGGTACCCAAGTGCCCCTGCAGGAACTATTCTTTTATTTTTTGTGTGTTTGTGATAATAACCAATGACAATCTCAAAATATTCATGAGTTTGTCCATATAAACATGATTTGTATGAGACAAACTTCCTTCTCCATTCACTCTACAGAAGCCATGTGCTTTTATATCTCTGTGCCTTTTTATCCACTTCTCCTGCCTACTCTCTCTACATGATGAACTGTTATCTTAATGATAAACCCCCACTTGTCAGTCAAGATCTAGCTAATGTGTCATCCCTTTTATAAAATATTATCACGTCTCTAGGCAGAGATAAATCCTTCATTTTCTACTTTCGTCAAACTCTGTTTACACCTCTCTTCTAAAAGTTATAGAGTACCCATTGTATGTGCCGGGCTAAGCACAGATAAAAGGTAACATATATTATGTGCCACATACCATGTCCCCATGGTCTGCACTAACTGCAGGATCTATTATTTATTTAAGCCTCACCACAATGCTGGGAGTGGGGACCTATTTTACCACCATTTTACAGATGAGAAGGCTGAGATAGATTAAGTCAATTTGCAAATTGATTAAGTGTCAGAGATCAAAAGCCAGACAAAGAATCTTGATTGACAGCCTCAACTGCCTCCCCTCTGGAGCAGCTACAGCAGCTGCCCTAGCCTATGGACCTGGCAGAGATGGATACTGTGCTAACTCATTTCTGCATAACCAGTGACTCTTTTAATGGGCAACTGTTGTTTGGAAAATCTCTACTCCTACTAACAGGAATCCCTATTAAAATTATTGCATTCAGTTGCTCATAGAATAAGGTACCCATCTGCCTATCAACCTGAAACTGGTAGGTGAATGAAACACATGAAAGTAAAACATAAAGGAAAAGTTCAGGTACAGGGAAATGATAAATGTGGTAATGTTAATATATTCAAAATAAGTCAACAGTAAACCACAACACACACACACACACACACACACACACACGGACATCTTTTGTATTAAGAAAGGAAGTACTGGAAAATAATTCTGATTCTGTGTTAGCTATAGATTGTAATGTTGACTTTTTTTTTTTTTTGCTGGGCACAGGGGTACACATGCCTCTGTGTGTGTGTGTGTGTATGTGTGTTTGTGTGTTTCCTTCCCCTAACTGACCACCCACGTTAGTAGTCTGCTTTTTCTCTTTATGAGTCACTACACAGTGCTGCTACATGTGTATATTTTTCATTTATTTGTTAATTTTTATTAATTCTAGTTTTTGTTAATGATATTTGACTTTCCTTTTGGAAAATAAAGGTTGAGAGGTGTTTAGAACTGGGTTGCAGTCTGTGGGCCTTCCCTCCTCATCTTTCCTTGCCTCTTTCCAAGGTGTTTGACTACTTCTCCCTGGCTGCTTTTGTTTTCAATCTCTATCCTTCACAGGCATTTTCGCTGATTAAGTGTTTTCACATCTAATCCTGTCTTGGTGTCTGCTTCTCAGAGGATGAAAACTGAGAAAATTTATTTTTTAAAAAAATATTTTATTTGTTCATGAAAGACACAGAGAGATGCAGAGAGGCAGAGACACAAGCAGAGGGAGAAGCTGGCTCCATGCAGGGAGCCTGATGCAAGACCTGATCCCAGGTCTCCAGGATCACGCCCTGGGCCAAAGGCGGCGCTAAACCCCTGAGCCACCGGGGCTGCCCCAAAACTGAGAAAATTTATACGAAACACATTCACTGCCCCAAAAACTCATAGTCTCACTGGAGGGATAGACATACATATTTTAAAAATGCAAATAATCTGGAGCAATGATTCCTATATTTGCAATAGATATAAAGCATCTTGAGAATGCAGATAAGAAAGCAATTGTTCTGCTTGGAGTAGATGGATGCATGTTATGGACCAACAAAAGGAGGAGATGACTTCCAGGTCAGATCCCAAAGGAACTGTGAGAATGGCTGAGATAAGGCACTTCAGAAAGGGAGAGTAACACCAGCAAAGACACAGAGGGGTGAAGTATTTAACATTCTTAGGAAATAATGTACTTGTCCATTCCTGAGAAATTGCTTCCCTGTTACCATACTTTAAAACACAAACAAACAAAAAACACATAGATCAGCAAAGCATACTTTGTTTAGAGCTCCCAATTTCAAGGGACCTTCCAGGCTCAATCTTCCCAAAAGCAAAGAAAGCATGAACCACAGGTTCCTCCATGCCCCCTGTTCCATCTATATTTATTGTACAGATTACATGCCAGACACCAGACAAGTCCTCAGGGAAGAGCTGCAGATTTAAATACAAGTGTGACATGCAAAGTTCTGTAAAACAAAAAGCTACAAGAAAATAATAGGCTTTCTTTCCACCACTATTTCCGTTCCAAGAGAAAAAAAAATGGAGAAGGACTGGTCTAAACTACATGAGAATGAGGTCAAGTTAGTGCTGATACACTCTGATGTGAGGTAAGTGTCTGCAGATCCAATCATGCTGAAAAATGTAAGGATGGAGCACTCTTGGGAGATAAATCTCTGGATTTCCAAGGAAAAATTTGTAGCCTATTAACTATCATTGGATGTGTGCTAGGGGTAAAAATTTTGGAAATGCAGAAATGCAAATGAGTAAATAAAAGTCACCCATAATTCTATGACACAGGGAAATATACACACATATGTGTGTGTGTCTATGTACACATGCATGCGTGTGTGGAGAATATATTTTAAATGGATGGGATAGCATTGCATGGGACATCTTGTAAACAGCTTGTATCATTTAATTCTGAACTATGAGCTGCTACTATCTACTACCATGAAAATTTCTCCTGCCTTGATTTCTGAGATATTTTTCTCTTCTAATTCTTGCTCCTTTTTTTCTCGACTTTTCATCCTCTAATCTCCTCTTCAGTCTTGAGGTTTTCTTGGGTCAACACTTTTCTCTGCTCATTCAGCCTGGTCTTCCAGCATGGCAGGTATCCCCTGCTGCCCTGCACTGATATAGCTCCCTTCATGGTTGCCCTATGTTTTCTTTTTTTTTTTTTTAATATTTTATTTATTTATTCATGAGAGACAGAGAGAGGCAGAGACACAGGCAGAGGGAGAAGCAGGCTCCATGCGGGGAGCCCGATGTGGGACTCGATCTTGGGACTCCAAGATCATGCCCTGGGCCGAAGGCAGGAGCTAAACCGCTGAGCCACCCAGGGATCCCTGCCCTATATTTTCTAAGTACCCATGAAACATCTCAACTTGAATAGCTCACACATAACTCAAACTCAATCTACCAACACTAAAGTCAATTCATGATGCAGTCCTCAAGCCAACTTCTGATGAAATCATTCCTTAGTTTTTAGAAAGTGTTGACTAAATACAGAAGCCAGGAGGCTATGATCCTTGCCTTCTCCCTTTTTTTCCCCTCCCAATGAGCATTGGTCACTAAGTTTGATCTTTTCTTTTTTTTTTTTTTTTAAACTTTTTTTTAAATTTTTATTTATTTATGATAGTCACAGAGAGAGAGAGAGAAAGAGAGAGGGAGGCAGAGACACAGGCAGAGGGAGAAGCAGGCTCCATGCACCGGTAGCCCGATGTGGGATTCGATCCCGGGTCTCCAGGATCGCGCCCTGGGCCAAAGGCAGGCGCCAAACCGCCGCGCCACCCAGGGATCCTAGTTTGATCTTTTCTATATGTAACCACCTCTCCCATTATTCCATCCTCTCCAACACTTCTGACATGGCCTTTGTAAGGGCCCCTTATCATCTCTCAGCTTCCTGTAACAGGAGGTCCATGACTTGTCTCCCTCTACCACATGCATTCACAGCTATATCCAGGAGTGAATGAAAGGTGAGGGATGAATTTACAAGTAGACTATTGTTCCAAGAAATTTTTCAGAGAAGAATAGAAAATACCAAAACATTTTTAAAAATCAAGAGAAGACCAGGTTAAGGCAAAGTTTGTTTGCTTTTTAATGCGAGAAAATTTAAGAAATATTTGTAGACAGCAAGGGAAGGAGCTAGTAAACCTGCTGTATAAGGAGGGTTAAAAAGGTAAGTTTCCCAAGAATGTCAGAGGGAATGAGATCCCAGAGCAATCCTCAGAACCTAAGTGAAAAAAAGTTAAGAATAGGCCAAAATCTTTATTTGAGGGTCACTGAAGGTTTATAACTCATTGAATTCTCAGGTCAACTGCTAAAGGTGAAAGAAAGAAGAAAAAGTGGGACCTTTGAAAAGCTTGGTAAACTCTTATGACAATGTGATCTGGAATACTGGTGAATGGAATTGAGTAGAGATAAGCAACTGTCTGTTCACATGTCCCCTTTTATGTCCCACACCTAGCACTGTGCCTGGAACCCAGTACACCCTCAGGACACATCACAGAGACTAAGCTCCACAGTGGCAGAAACCAGGTCTTATTCACACAATTCACACTGTGCTTAATCATTTACAAACTCAAGCATCAAAACAATGAATTGGCCTCTAGAAAATTCTATAAAAATATCATTAGCCACATTCTCTGAAACTGGAGGCTTCTCATAGTATTGAACTTATCAGGAAGAAAGAAGAAAATTCATATTCATCTCAGAGATTCACTAATTAAAGTAATTCTTAGAATACATTCATATCATTAAAAATTAGGCAATTTCCCTATTTTTACCGACAATATTGTACAATGTTGAGAATGATACTAAAACAATCATTACACGTTAATTACCCAAGACAGGAAACAGAATTAATTTTTTTTTAGGAATATCATTTAATGGGTGTCAAAACAAACCCAGGAAGCTTCTAATAAGCTCTGAAGAAGTATATTCTATATCCTTCTGAAGTGCCCTCTGTAAACAATTAGTTCTACCTTGACTCTGTCTGAGCGGCTGTTGAAAAGTCCAATCCGTCTAATGGTGCTGAGGATGGGATCAGTGGAGTCATCAATCATGTTGTGAGTGGTCACTGGAGGCAAAGACTGTCGCTGAAGTCATAGAGGAAAGAAAATGTCAATGGTGAAAAGAATTAATAAGTGTGACTAATGTCAACAATAGGTCATTGGCAACATGTCAACCAGTCTTTATGCCTTCCATCCTGTGGGATGACACTAATGATGGTGACTAAGTTTTGCGTGGGTTCCAGAGAAGGATAATAGATTGAAGAACTTTCTTCAGATATTGTGAACACATGATACTTTTGTTTCTCACCTGCAGCCACTATAAGAAAGGCCTACACTTCTTGACTGCTTTTGGGACTTGTTTGAAATGAATGTGTCCTGAAATCTTAAGATGAACTCCTCTCCTGGGTCCTTCTAGCAGGGCTGTCCTCTGACGGTGCCTGCTGCTTCACTGTTATGACAAGATGTTGGCACATGCCTATCTTGCATTTTTGCAATGTCCGCTCAACCGAGAGATATTCACCTTTTCTCTATCATGACTCAAAATGCCATGCTTTTTGAAAATTTTAGGGACAATTTTGTTGCCATTGCAATATACACAGTTTTTCAAAAAGATATATTGGTTTCTTTCTAAAAATAGAAATTTTTAAAGTGGATACAAGATAAGTTCCATGACATTTTTTAAAGGAGCCCTGAGAAGCACTCATAAACGAAAATAAAGCAAAGTTATCATTTAGGTGAATGCATAAGAATGACTTCTCTAGTTCTCAGGTTTGTACATTTTCCAAACTGGCTCATTCCAGTAAATTAAAATATTGATCTAAAAAGATTTGAACAAACTTGGGAAGGGATCGGCACTCTTTGTTACCTGAGTTGAAAAGATGGCTCTTTTCATAATTGTTACATCATCTCGATCCAGAATATTGTTCATGTCAGGAATTTCTCCTCTGTGGGGAAAACAATGTTCATCATAAAATAAAAATAACTGGCACGAATTTAATGCCACCTATGTGTCAGGCAGCGTTCTAAACACTTTAAAAATAATTATAAAGCAAACGTGTTTCCTGATGAAGCTCATAGACAAATTCCTAAAAAGAAGTTTGATAAAAAAAAACAATTTCAATAGCATCAAAGAAAATTAAAATTCATTTTCAAAGTATTAACATTAACCATCAGAAGGAGAATATCACTATATTTTGCCTACTCTTGAGTACTATGTTCTAAAGTGCACATAACTATCTATCTTTATGTGACATAAAGATCTTTAAGTGACATAACTGGTAAAAGGAAATGATGCATGCCTGCCATCATCAGTCAGGAGACAGCAGAGCTTTCTCTTCATATTATAACATAATCTATATATTTTATATATAATCATTATTTTATAATACATTTTAGTTTGATTTGATTAGATTTTATACATCTGTATTTCATTTATTTTATTACATATTTAAATGTTTATTATTCATTAAGTAAATATAGGTTAATTAACATTATTTAATGTTACTAAATATTTTAATTTAATATATAAGTGTATTTAATATATAAAGTCAACATATATTTTGACTTAAAAAACTCATGAAATCTTCCTCAGTTTCACATTGATATATTAACCCTGAATGAGAGTTCCACTGAATTAGAACCTATTTGCACATGTGAATATGTTCTCATTTGTACAACCTATCTTAAGAATTTGTCAGATGAAGGATAAAACAAGATCTGTTCACGTGATATAATACATATTCAAAGGCTACTCATTCCTTTACATCTGGATTAAAAGAAATACATTATAGCGTTTAAGTTGTTAAATTTGAATAGGGAAACCCTATAATATTTGAAGTGTTAAGTACTCCCAGCACCTACCTTAACAATGCATCATAGAGTTTCTTTCCAAATTTTTCCTTTACAGAATGTGCAATGTCCCTGTATGAATTGAAAGATTTTTAATTTAAATAGGGTCCCAATTCAAAATCTTTGTTTGCCATGGCCATGCTGATGTTTTGTCACTATATTCTTTGAAATTACAGGCCTCTTTTGTAGAACCTCCTCTACTGTGTTTCCTAGTTGCCAGTTTAGCCTGAGTTAAAATCTCCAGAGCTGAGGCACCAGAACACACTGAGCAGCCCACAGAGCTTGACATTTTTTGACTTGATGAAATTAGGGCAAATGTGGACAGCAGGGCGGGGGAGTGGATGGAAGTATAGGTGTAACAAGATGGGTAATTCATTGATAATTGTAGAATCTGGGCTATGGGCATGTAGGGAGTCATTATACAAATCTCTTTATTGTGTAATTCACATTAAAACATTTTTTAAAATTTTTATTTATTTATGATAGTCACACAGAGAGAGAGAGAGAGAGAGAGGCAGAGACACAGGCAGAGGGAGAAGCAGGCTCCATGCACCGGGAGCCCGACGTGGGACTCGATCCTGGGTCTCCAGGATGGCGCCCTGGGCCAAAGGCAGGCGCCAAACCGCTGCGCCACCCAGGGATCCCACATTAAAACATTTTAATGTGAATTTCACATTAAAAATTTCACATTAAAATTTTTTTTTCACAATAAAATTTTTAAAAATTCAACCCATCATTAAAGATTGCTGCAGAAGCTTTATCCATCCATGGTGGCTCATTCCAAAGTTTTTATAGTAACACAGTTTGATAGGCACTACATAATCTGACATAGTAGCCTATAAGAAGAGAAACAAGTAGCATTTGTGCTGTAATAATCTTTACTTTTTTTTTTTTTTTTTTTTTTTACCTATTCATTTGTGAAAGAGAGAGAGAAAGCAGGAACGGGGAGTAGCTCAGAGGGAGAGGGAGAAGCAGACCGTCTGCTAAGCAGGATGTCAGACGTGGGGCTCAATCCCAGAACCCCAGGATCATGAGCTGAGCTGAAGGCAGACACTTAAGTGTCTTGTGCTATAATCATCGTAAGGCTGTCAAGCACTCCTTGTGCTATAATCATTGTAAGGAATAAAACAGTTCAAGGACATATATCAGAAATTATGCATGTCAAAAAAATCTCTTTACACTTATTGCTTGCGAACATTCACAAAACATGAGATTACCATAGCTGTTTCCGCACTGCCTGGCCTTTCAGTGTTTCCACGTTGAAATTATTTGTCTTGGCAGGCATAATGAAAAATACCACTACCGTGACGTCACTTTTATGCATCTAATGAGGGATTAGGAAACATAACAAGTCAACTACCAAAGATAAAAGATAACGTCAACAGATAGACTTTAAACTTTAAAAAGTATATAGTGTTTTAAATTATCTTTAGATAAAAGGAATACTTATTTATGATTTACAGAGACATTAAACCCACCTTCCTGAAGCTTACTCAGAAATTTAAATCTGGTTTTCAGTCGAGAACTGCTGGTTAACAATTTGAAAATTCAAACATAAAATATTTTCATTAAGCAGCTAAAATATATAACAATGGCTAGTGATATCATAGTGCTTTTCTGTGAAATTTTTCTTTAAAATTTCATACTGGAAAATTAATGGGAGTTTAGCTTTGTTTCATTCTATTTTTTTCTAGTTTTTATTCACTTTGATTTGCACAAAAAGAGTATTTACACTTTCCTGTTACATGTCTTATCATAATGCTACATTTTGGTTTTTTAGTCTTAAAGTCCAGGAACAAGCAAAGGAAAATGTGCTCAGCACTTCTGGTGTGGCAGGCACTGTGCTGGATGCTTTAAATGCATAACTTAACCCCATCCTCACAATAACTGTGCACAATAGATGGCTCTCTTTTCATCTTACTAACTGAAAGAGAGGCATGAGGGTATCAATTGTCTAAGTTCCTACAACAGATTATTGGTAAAGTTGGGATTAAAACTGGTGTTTTTTGATTCTATACTCTGTTTGCTTTCCCCCTTCCCTAGCATGTCTCAGAAGGAAATGATATATCCAGTCGTGAGAATGGAAGCATAAACTTACTTAAAACCATGAACATATGAATGTTCATGTAGTCTGGAAATGACTATCTCCAAAGTGTGGGCACCACATACTCTGTGGCCCCTTCAAGAGTCTATTAATTACGTTCTATTTTAAAAAATCTATGGGAGTCATAGAATAGGAAACTCTTCAAGAGAAGCCAATGTGCTATGAAAGAATAAATGTACTATATGAAAGAGAATATTTTCTTTTAATTTCTCCAAGTATTGTAATTATCTTTGATGTCTAGAATAGCAACTGGCTTTTTTTCATATTTAAAAATAAAGTGACTATTTAATAAATGTATAGATAAATTGATTAATCATGTCCCTAAACATGATATATGTTTGACATAACTTTGAGTCCATCTATAAAGCTTGTTGAATAGATACATACCAGGAAATAATGGAATAAGATTATTCTAGCCTATCCTAGAATAATCTATGTGGTCTTCAGTCCTATTTTAGAGTTGGATTTTTATTAATGTATTATTTCCTTATTAAGTGGTATCAGTGAATCTTTTAGTATACTTGGTACGATATCTGCTCTAAAGCAAAATAAATTTATGTCCAAGGAAAAATATTAACTGGAGAAGAGTATGAGCTCAGGAAAGTTTAAATTGTCTTGGTATCTCAGTAAGATTGAAATTCTACACTGGTCTCCTGTAGCTTATTGTAATTTATTCTATATCTACATGATAGGATTAGAATATAAGCCAATAATTTTAATCACTAGCTATTACATGGTACCATTTTGTATAGCTGCTTCTTTTGGCACAGGTTTTACTGCTGGCTTAATTGGGAAGCTATATTAAGTCCCACCTTCCTGAGCAAAAACTGAATCTGCATGAAAGTAGGAACCTCCTTTCCCCTCCTTGTTTCCATGTGGTGAGATATCTCCTGGTTTCATAGTTGAAGGCTGTTAATCTTAGGGAGGGGGTATGGCTGGTGAGTAGGGAGAGGAATAGTTTGTGTATGGCTGCCCTGATGTATGGAGAGAAATTGTTTGGTTGCTAGCTGTACGGCACAGGTTCCTCTGAAGGCCTTCTTTGGTTGAGGGAGGACAGCAATATGGTGAGATAGCTAGGTCTAATAGTAAGATTCAATATCCGGAAGCCTATTGGTGCCATATACCAAGCCACATCTTCCATTAAAGTCTTTATCAGTTTTAAAAACATCAAATTTTGTTCTCCATTTGCTTGACTTTTTCATATTTATCTTTCAGCTGGTTAACTCTTGGGACAGGGGAAGGAATGTCATAATGTCATATTAAAATATATCACAATAATCTTGTGGTTCTCTTTTTAAAATACCTGATAACACAGGCAGATAAACAAATGAACAACGTGGTGATCCCAACCTGTAAACTGAAAGACTAGAGCCATTTTTAAAATAAGGTTGACATTGTAAGTGTTCACAACCACATATCTCTTGGAAAGTTCTTAAGAAGCCAGAAAGTTCTTTACTTCCCACAGAAGAAAGTCTTCCTGTAAAAGTATCGTGTGGCATTACTAGAGCGTTCTTACCCTCAGCAGAAAATTAAGCCTGGATAAGGCTTCTAGGAAGATGTCAGCACCTTTGTTTGAAAACTCATATCTCCCAGCAATGAAAAGGAACAAAGTCTTTTCAAGATCAAAGTCCAGATGACTAAAACAAAACAAAACAGTTTCAAATGAAATAAGGCAACAGCAACAAAATGTACAAATGAATTCTGTTAAAGTTCAAAGAGAGCTGGGAAAGACAAACATTTACTATAACAGTCTTGTTTTCTCTATGCCATAGGTCCCCAAAACACACGCTATTTCTTTTTTAAATAAAGAAGAGCATACCCATAGAAATGACCTCGAACAAAATCTTGGATCCTGGCCTTGTACATGGCATGTAGATTTTGAAACTCATGTACTGCTGAAAATTTCTTAACACTCAGGCCATTTGGAGTAACTACATCTGGAAAAGCAAAAATAATATCATGGCAAAAATCTTTTGAGAGAGGGTATCATTGTAGAAAAATAGTTTGTTTAGATACATAAAATTAGATGTCTCTTAACACTTCTAGTTTCTATCATAGAACCAAAAATTCATAAAACATCACAATAGATTATTGAAATAGGAAATTAGGAGTGAGTGACCAAAATAACATTAACTTGTACAATGAAACATCTAATTAAAAGCACTAATAATGATTATTATAGTTTTCATTTATTGATGTCTTATTATTGCTCTTAATACTCTAAACACTTTATAGTGTAACTCATTTAATCCTTGCAAGAACCAATGGAGCAGGTGTTCTTATCTGCATTTCCATAGGCACAGAGTTGTTAAGGTATCCGTCCAAGAACACAAGTGTCAGAAGTAGAATCCATGTAGTCTCCCTCCACATGTTGTGTCTTTAACCACGCTGTACACTAAACTACCTCTTAGCATCTTATTTTGACCAAAAGTGTGGGAAATGTTCTGTTCACTTGGAAAAGTGGAAAGTCATGCCTTTCTTTCTAATTCCCAGAAGAGCTTACTCAAGTAGGAGGACATGTTTGGTTTTCAAGAATAATTATTAGTTTGTGACAAGAAAGATAGAGACTCTTCAGAGTACAAGATGGGAACTACCTAGTGACTTGAATACATGGGCTGCTGCATTTAGTAGCAGCAAAAACAAATTAAAATTTAAAAAGAAGCTATATAAAAAAAACCCGTGACACATGACAATGGGCATTTTTGCAAAGGAGATTTGAGCTAAAATTATAAATATGCCATTGTTTTGAAGGATATTTTACAGTTAACAATCTATATTTTGAAATGATTCAACAAAATCAACCCAGACTTCTTGGTCAGTTTTCTTAAAAACAAGAACAAACTGCCACTTCTTCTGCTTTTTTACTAAGTAATTGGACAAATTCTATACTCCACAGCAGAGTCAATTTTAGTTTGTCAAGGTTTCTAGTGAAAGCCCTCATGTGAATAATTCCTATAGTTTTATCAGGATAGTAAACAATCCCCTCTTATAATGTATTTCTCTTTCCTTAACATTATATAGTGCTTAGCTTGTGCTAGATGCTAGTGTAATTGATAAATATTAATTTAATTTTTATAAATCTATATGAAGTAAGTTATTTTGCTATCCCAATTTTATAAGTGAAGAACTGATCTATAGAGAAGTTAAGCTATTTGCACAAGATCAAGAAACTACAAAGTAACAGAGATAGGATTTAAAACCAAGGCTACTTGGGGGCACCTGGTTGGCTTAGTCAGTTAAGCATCTGATTCTTGATTTTGGCTCAGGTCGTGATCTCAGGGTCATATGATCCAGCCTAGCATCTGGCTCTCTGCTGAATGTGGAGTCTCCTTGAGACTCTCACTCTCCCTCTGCCCCTCCCCCTGTACTCTCACTTTCTAAAATAAATAAATAAATCTATAAAATAAAATAAAACCAAAAAATTTAAGACTTTAGTTATTTGAGAGAGAGAGAGAGAGAGAGAGAGAAGGAGAATGTGCATATACATGCACGAATGAGGGAGGGACAGGCAGAGAGGGAGAGAAAGAAACTCTCAAGCAGATTCCCAGCTGAGCGTGGAGTCCTATCCAGGCTCCATCTCACAACCCTGAGATGGTGAGCTGAGCTGAAATCAAAAGTCTTTGGCTTAACCAAATGAGCCCCCAGGCCCCCCTAATTTAGCCTTTTTGCATCTCATGGAACATAAAAGAAAAATGGACACTGCCAAAAGTTCCAGAGCTGACATTTTTATTCTACAAGTGTGCATACATACTGACCCATCTGTTTAGACTCCCTCCTGTGGGAGCATTCTGATCGGCCAGAATCAGAATCAGAATCAATCTTTAGGCTGGGTATCTACCTCTAGACCAATCAGCTGTGACCAAGTGATAGAATCATGTTCTATGAACATGCCTCTCAGCATTGTAACCTCTGGTAGGTCTGGGGATAGCTCTCAGAAAAGCTTTCAAGGTCATGGGGGAAGTAAAATAATAAGTTTCTACTAAATAGAATCAATGATGCAATGTCACAAGATGTAGGACTGGAATATTCTCACACACATTTTTGATATTTTTTTTGTAATTTTGTTTCCTTAAAATAAAAAAGTTAACTTGCTTTACACACAGCAGGTCACTGTGACAACCCTAGAGCATAAGCCCATTTCTAGCATAACCCATTTATTCAACAAGCACAGATGGAACACCACTATGTTCTGGATATAGCTCAGTATTGGTTTTACAACAGAGCTGACATTGAGAATTAAAATACATGCAAAGATTTGGGTGGTAGCAGTGAATGTCATTTTTCCTCTATTAGTTTATACTTTTTTGTTTCAAACAAAAGTTTTAGACTCCAATGTCATTTAGGATTGAAAGGTGGGTGACGAATTCAGAGATGATAATTACCAGGCTTCCTCTTTAGCATATGTTCTGCTTCTATTGCAGTTATTTCAGATACTGTGGTGAATACATGAGCACAATGGACAGAGGCCCGCTCCATGCAATACCGGTGGTAAATCTGCCTTTCCCCAGCCTCTTTGTCTATGTTAAACTGTTAAAAAAAGAGAGAGAGAGAGAGAGAGAGAGAGAGAGAAGAGAAAAGGAAAGGAAAGGAAAGGAAAAAAAAGGAAAAGAAAAAGAAAAGAAAAAAAGGAAAGGAAAAGAAAAGGAAGAAAAAGCAAAAACATATATACATTTGATATACATTTGCTCATACAATCAATCCTTGACAAACATGAGGGTTAGGGGCACGGACCCCTGGTGTAGTCAGAAATCCCCATTTAACTTTTGACTTCACCCAGCACTTAACTACTAATAGCCTACAGTTTACAGGAAGCCTTACCAATGATAAAAAACAGTTGATTAACACATATTTTGTATGTTATGTGCATTACATACTGTATTTTTACAATAAAGTAAGCTGGAGAAAAGAAAATGTTAGTTAAATAAATCATAAGGAAGAGACAACACATTTACAGTACTATAATATATTTATTGAAAGAATCCGTATATAAATGGACCCGCACAGTTCAAACCTGTGTTGTTCAAGGATCAGCTATACTGATCCTTCTACACAAGTGAAACAAAATCATATATTATCCATATTGTTTTTCCTCAATTCTGCGTAAAGTTTTATAACCACAAAAAAGTAATAACTTTTTATTAAACCTATTACTAAATGCACAGTTATGCATGCTTTAAAAAGTATTATTCACTTCACTTCTGCTTCTAAACTGCTATTTAATCCCTTAAGTAAATAGTTTTGCTTTGCTATAATTACATAGAATTCTTAATTTTTTGGTATTTTAATATTTACTTACCTTACATCTTACAAATATTGAGCTAATTCCTTTCCCCAAGGTCCTTATCTGATTTTTCCAATAAACAAAGAAACAAAGGCGACATTAAGCTCTATATTGAAAATAAGGATAATTATTATCACTTTAATTGCCTGGTGTGTTAGATTGTGCAATCATCCACAAGATATCCTGGGTATCTTAACTTAAATTAAAAAAAAAGAACTTCAAAAACCAATAAGCCAAGCACCAAACAATTAATTAAATAGTTGGCAACAGTTGTGGGCTTTTGCCGTATTGCTTAGCTGAACATTATGTCTCACATAGCTGCAGATGAAACTAGCAGTGTTTAAGAGAGAAAAGTATATAAGGTTACTCGCATTATATTAGCAGGGTGCATTCTCTAATAAAGATTGTTAGAAGCTCAACACTGTACTAAGCATGTATCATATTTAATCCTTATAAACCAACTGTGGTTTGTATTTTGTCTTCATTTTATGCAGGGGAAAATTGAAGCTTGTAAAGGTTAGGAAACCTGCCCAAGATCACATTCCTATTAGGTGTCTTAGCAGAGCCCTGAACTGATACCAAATCAGGCTGACTCCAAGCTTGTGCACTCTTCTGCTTTTCTATCCTTTAGACTCCAGTTCAACCAACAAGTCAGTCCCAACGATTACTGCACCATATACTGAAACAGACTGAAAAAAAAATACTGAAAAAGACTCATTATATGATTCTAGAGATTAAAACAAAGAAATTCCTAGAGCATTCTTTCTTAACTGTAATATTGTAATATTTCTGTGAAAATGTTTGAAACATAGCTCTCTGTGGCATCCATAGATCAGCTGAAGTTTTCCTAAGAGCTCTATTTGACTGGTCTCATTTATTCAACCAAATCTCTCATTCAACCAATATTTGTTGAGTAATTCATTGTTTCTGTGGCCTTCAAAGAGCTTATAGATTAGTGAGAAAACAGGTTAAAATTAAGTAGAAATGAGTAAGTGCCTGAGGAAAGCATAGGATCAGAGTGGGACTGATTCACACTGGCTGAGAATAGAGAAATGTATCTCTTACTATGCAAGTGTTCATATCGTCAGTATCACCTTCAGTATCACTTTCAAGGGGAAGGACCATAGCTTATTAATCTTTGTACCTCCAAGTTGATTGGATGAATAAAATGGCATTTGGACTGGGACATGAAAGTTTAATTTGAGGAAGGTTATTTTGGATTGAAAAATTAGCTGCCCTAAAGAACACATATATTAAGTCAAATAGCATGTGTAGGAAATAGCATCTGATATGACTGCAGCAGTGGTATAAGAGAAGATGACAGACAAGGCTAGAAAGTTGGCCTTTGTCCTATGTACAATGAAAAGGACCGAAAGGGTTCATTTAATCATATGGTAAAGACAGCTTATGCATAGGAAAGATAACTCTGAAAAAAGTATGAAATGTTTTATGCTTAGAAAAGTGCCTGGCACATGGAAAGTGCTCAATACCTTTAGCTATTGTTACTATGATTGTTGTTGGTTTTATTGTAGAGAGTAATAAGATTTCACATATGGGACAGCGTTTAACATCTAGACATTTAGAGATAAGAAAATAGGATTTCTAAATGAGTAAACCAAGTATTCAAATATTTAAGGGAAGGACAGCAGAGGCCTGGTGAACCTGTGAAAGGTCTCAATGAAGACAGGCATGTGCCTTTTCCTGGTCCCATGGTCCCCTTACCATGCAGGCCTATGGTATGCATGGCCACACCTGTGGTTTACGGCAACTCTAGGTGTTTATACATGTTGTCCACTTTTCCACATGCATATGATAGTCTGTTAAAATCTGTGTGGGGGGGCACTTGGGTGGCTCAGTTGGTCAAATGCCTCCCTTCAGCTCAAGTCATGATTGCAGAGTTCCGGGATTGAGCCCAGAACTCTCTCTCTCCCTCTGGTCCTCCCCCCTCCTTCGTGCATGCTGTCTCTCTCTCAAAATGAATAAGTAAAATCTTTAAAAAATTAACTATAAAATCTCTGTCCGGTAATTCCAACATCTAACATATCTGACCCTGGTTATTTTGACAATGAATCTCACTTTCCTACATTTTCATGTATCTCATTACTTTTTGTTAAATTCAGGAAAGTGTGTATTAAAGAACAAAAAATGAGGAAAAGTACATATTAGTCAGTAAAGCAACATCCAGTGACAATGGAGGATAACTCTATGATTAAGGTGATGAGCTCAAAATTTGGTCAGATGGAAAAGTTAAAATCCATCAAGCGATTGTCTATGATTTTCTTTCACAGTTTTTTTTATCCCAGACAGCACTGTCCTTACATTTGCATCCAGGAAATCCTAATGCCATCAAGAAAAGAGGCCACATCATAAGAAAATTATTGGTCTTTTTTTTTAAAGCAATAGTTATATCACCTTTATTTTTTTTTTAAGATTTTATATATTTATTCATGAGAGACACAGAAAGAGAGTCAGAGACATAGCCAGAGGGGGAAGCAGGCTCCATGCAAGAAGCCCGATGTAGGACTCAATCCTGGGACTCCAGGATCATGCCCTGGGCCGAAGGCAGGTGCTCAACCACTGAGTCACCCAGGCATTCCTATCGCCTTTATTGTTGAGGGGAAAACTAGTCAATGGCTGGACCCATAAGAATGAATTTGGAAATATCTTCTTGGAGAGGGGTGGCTCAACCAGTTAAGCCTTCGACTCTTGGTTTTGGCTCAGGTCATGATCTCCAAGTCATGGGATTGAGCCCTGTGGAGCCCCAGGTGGAGCCTCGAGTGAAGTCCTGCTTTGAGCCCCTGATAGGGCTCCACCCTCAGCAGAGACTCTGCTTCCTCCTTGCCCTCCCACTCACACTCACCTCCCCGCATCTCAAATAAATAAATAAATCTTTTAAAAACATATCTTCTTGGAGAGTTTCAGAATATTCATACACTGGCTGAAAATGATTAAATTGCTATTTTATTTATTTATTTATTTTTAAGATTTTATTTATTTATTCATGAGAGACACACAGAGAGAGAGAGAGAGAGAGAGAGAGAGAGAGAGAGAGAGAGAGAGAGGCAGAGACACAGGCAGAGGGAGAAGCAGGCTCCATGCAGGGAGCCTGATGTGGGACTCGATACTGAGACTCCAGGATCACACCCTGGGCCAAAGGCAGGCGCTAAACCACTGAGCCACCCAGGGATCCCCAAGTTGCTATTTTCATTAACAAATTTAACTACAAACTTAAACCAACATCAAAGTCCTGTGAATTGACTTTTAACAGAGCATGTTTTCACGTGGCAATTAGTTTTTGAGTAAAATAATTCTACTCTTTCTCTTTTTATACAAGTTAGGTACTTTCATTCTTGTTCCTATCTCTCCCCCATATTTACTTGCCTGAGCCAAAGCTTACTGCAACTGATTCTGGGACTTGCATCAAAGACTAAATTATGACTCTTTTCTTATGTTGAATGTTTAAAAAGTTTTCATGCATATATATAATATACACATAATTATATTATACATTATATATTTAATTTATTATATAACATCCAAATTCTAAACCTACTGTGAGCATAGGGTGAGAAGGATCTGTAGGAAATGATTATGGGGGCCTGTTCTGTGAAAAATAATTATGAGTTTAACTCAAAATCACCTGGGTGGCTCAGTGGTTGAACATCTGCCTTTGGCTCAGGTTGTAATTCTGGGGTCTGGGATCAAGTCCCACATCAGGCTCCTTGCGTGGAGCCTGCTTCTCCCTCTGCCTATGTCTTGGCCTTTCTCTCTCTCTCTGTCTCTCATGAATAAATAAATAAATAATTTAAAAAAAAACAAATCTAGTTCCTAATTACTTGTGATCTCCTAGTCACTCTGCTGGACAGGATATTTTACTAGAATGATGGGTTGGGACTGACTCAGCTCACACATTTCAACCAGTGAAGAGCCTTAAAATGGGAAGATACATCATATTTGAAGATAAAATGGTATAAATACTAACCTTTTGTCCAAGGGATAATATTGTAATATGTAACTACATACTATAATCATTTGTTACTTAAAAACAACTAATATTATCTAATGAATTTTATTAGTTGTTTTTATTAATTGTTACTATATAATGGTCTTAGATGTTCTGAAGTAAAATATTTGATATGCCTCTCCAATATTTTGTCTTTCACAAAAATCCACGTCTATTCTTTTCTAGAAAACAAGATTGCTGAGCTTATCATAGATCAGTGGCTTGACCTTATTAGTGTATCATTATCATATACTGTCAGGAAATTTCCCTGATCTGACTTTCTGATGACTTTATTTTAAATGTACAACTTATGTTTACAATTTGACCTTTAGGATAGACTGACCTTTTCATAGGAAAGCTCTCTTTAGGACCACATATTGCTTTGCAAATGTTAAAGTTTGTCAGAAAGAGCTTTCCTACACTCAAAACATCTCTGGGATAGTAGAAAAGCTTTCCATTACCATTAACTAAGTGTTCATGTATTACAAACACACACACACACACACACATATTCTGTTTCATAGAATTTTAGAACTTTTTTAAACCACAGAAATCTTTAGAAATCAACTTTCCAACTTCCTAATTTTCCTGACAGTAAACAGAACCCAAAAATGCTAAGTTCATTTGATTGGCAGTATAGATACCAAGTCTATAAAACCCCGACTTTCTGGTATTCAAATGCTTTGTTGATATCACTGACATGGTGATATAAAAGGTATAATTTTATTAATCTGACTTAACTGTCAGATTAATTGACTTAACTCAGCAAATAAAAGAAAACGTCAAAACAGAATGACCTTGGTCATAAAGTTGGGCAGTCTTTTAAGATAAGGAAACCCAATTATTTGGTCACCAAGGACCCTGTTTTAAAGAACTGTCTTACTCAACCCACACACCAAGTCCACCTATGCATCACAGGGTTACAGGAGAAATCTGATCATCTGTTCACTTGAAAGAGAGAGGAAGACCCAGAGTTGTACGCCTAGAACACTGGGTCTAGCTGCCACTCTGAGCTGTGTGTGGATCCACCACCCTCACACTGTTTCCTTAGCTTCATACACAGGAGTCCAACCCACTTACACCTGCTGTGCCTCTTTGGATCTTGGCTTTACTGTTCCAAAGTAGATACACATCCAGCCTGTCATCACTACGCTCTACTGCACTCTGATGATTAAACTGCATCAACTCTCTGTCACCTCAAGGGAGGCTTTGTCATGAATGTTGATTCATTAAAAGGGCATTTCTGCCATCTGGTTGGCAGATGGAAATGTAAAGATCAATACTTCTCATCCCTCACGTTCAAGGATCAGAAAGAAAGGTGGTTGGGTGGGGGAAGGAGGGAGGACTTTTTACCTTATCAAGATGGTTGTAGAAATCAATGTTTGCTGCACAGAGATACCTCCCAAGCAGTGTGGCATGAGTGGTAAATATTGTAGCAATGGGAAGTTTCCGAGCTCGAGAAAGGATCAGCCCAGTTCCTGCCTGCCATTCATGGAATTGGGCAATGACATGTTTCCCATCTGCATGATCTGTCACCTACATCAGAAAAGAAGCATTTAGAAGAGTTGTTGGTAAAGCTTGATCTTGACCATGGCCCACAGCATAAGGAAAGTTATCGTGCCCATAAATTTTTGCAAAATTTAAAGAGAGCTAAGCAAGAAGTATGCAGATTTAGCCAGCAGAATTGTTTTATAGGATTTAGCTGCATGTTCAAAAAGCCCACATATTTTTGTGGCATAATCCTCCCTTTCGGTAATGAATCAGATTTATTTTTGTAAGTACAGAGGGGCTTAAGAGAACAAATGAACAGTAGGCACTCAATAAATTCGTTGAATGGATGAATGGATAATAGCAATAATATCCTTGAAGATAACACTGAGCAGCCGAATCACTGAGCACTACCTACTTACAAACTTCTTTTGAAATAAACAATAAATGACTTCATGTTTTAAGTCAGTCTTATTTGGATTCTCTGTTCTTTGAAGCCAAAAGCACCTTAATATACTATTTAAGAAAATGGAGGGGATCCCTGGGTGGCGCAGTGGTTTGGCGCCTGCCTTTGGCCCAGGGCGCAATCCTGGAGACCCGGGATCGAATCCCACATCGGGCTCCCGGTGCATGGAGCCTGCTTCTCCCTCTGCCTGTGTCTCTGCCTCTCTCTCTCTCTGTGACTATCATAAATAAATAAAAATTAAAAAAAAATTAAAAAAAAACAAAACAAAACAAAAAAAAAGAAAATGGAAATGGGTAGAAGAAGGTTAATGATTTGCTTAGAGGCAAATTCTATTTTAGTAACACGCCGAGGACCCAGGTCTAATCCCAGTCTAGTTCTAAAACTAGATGGGGCATCAGTTTCCTTGCCTCAAAGTTACCTTGTTTCACCCTTACAGAAATTTAATATTTGCATTTCACTACCTTTATGACTGCCTGTTTCCTCAATGAGGGAGTAGAACTGATAATGCAAAACATGCACTTTCAGGGAGACTGAGCAGAGAATTGGGAAATGGAGAGTTCACCCAAGAAGGCAGTTCTCGCACTGAGAGGACATCGGTGTCACTTGGAAGGCTGGTCAAGCACAGGTATCTGAGTCCCATTGCCAGATGATCTAATTCTGGGCTGGGGACAGGAGTTTGCATGTCTTTTAAGTTTGCAGCCAATGCTGCTGGTGGTGGCCTATGGAAATACTCTGTGAAAACCACTGACTTAGGCTGGACCTTTGTAGTTTAAAATACCTGCTCTTGAAAAAGTTCCTTACAGTAATTAACAGTTGCACAAATCAGTGATAGCCGAGAGATGACAGCAAAATAAGGCTTGCCCAAGTGCCTTAGATTTTTGTCAATGTCTTTATTTGCCATTTGAATAAAAAATAAATTCTGTTTCTGTAATAGCTTTACTTCAGAGAACATTGGGGCTTTCACTTTCTTGCTTCTCTCTTCTCTAGATTCCTTTAGCAGAAAGGATGAGAACAGACACACAAACACACACATACAAGCACACACATGAACATATACATGCACGCACACATGCACACAGAGGCTGGCCTCAGCCCTGGGGGTAGTGGCTCAGGGAGGCAGTTTGCAGAAGAAAAATTGGTTCCACCAACCAATGCTAAAACAAGACTGCTTATTGCCATTAAGCCAGATCTTGTTAGCACCCTCACCCTGTTCTCCTATTCTGTCACCAAAACAAGGTAATGTTACTGCCCCTTCACCTTTCCCTTCACCTCAAGGCAGCCTTTTGTGACTATTGAATATGGCTTCATCAGCAAGAAAGGGTGGTCAAGGGAACACACTGCCAACATATAGTTCTGTGATTTATCCTTAGACTATATCCTCACTTTGCTAAGGATGCTCTTCCCTCACCATCTGGTTTTTAAGTTAGGCATAATCATTTTGAGGTAATGCAAGAAATGCAAAGAAATCTTTCTGCCGTGCTTTGAGAACTTGAGAGCGCAGGCTTGGTTCATTTCACAAGAATTGGTACCTAAAGCTCTTGGGACTTGGGCGGACTCGGGGAGGTTTGGTTTTTTTGGGGGGATATTTCACTGCTAACAGATCCTTCGCAACTAAGGAGATCACTTCAACCCTTAGAAAATGATGAAAATATCCAAAAGCCACTGCAGTAGCACAAGTACCCATGCATAAACAACACCAAATATTTCAAGCTATTTTTTACTCCCATAAGTCTAGAATTCATGTGCATAGTGCATGATGTATACTGTTTTTTTTTGCTTGTATATATATTACTTTCTATGTATCAGGCAATATAATGGGTTGTTTTATACACACCATTCTATTTAAATCTGACATGTGGTACATGCTAATAAGCACAATTATTAACCTGTTCCAAAGGCTAGTATTTAGTTAGAGGAAGGCTGAATATTTCCTCAGATTCTTTTGAAATGTATTAGGACAGTCATAATGACATCATCTTATTTAGCTTAATCTAAAAATCACAGGATCATTGCTGGGCACAGAGCACAATTATGCTTCTCCTCTATAGTATGTCTATACAATAAACTGTACCTCTTTTAAGAACCAGGCAGTTAAAGATCCAAATATTAGCATATCGTTGGCTTCTCGGTCATGATAAGGGATGCCGACACTGCATGCTTCCCAGAGGTCACCCTTCCACCTGTCCAGGTTCCAAGCCGAATAGCCTATGTCAAATAGCACCACGTAAGGACTCCCTTCTATCAGCCATCTTCCAAAGTGCACCTGCCATATTAAAGAACATACGGCTTTGCAGTTATACCAGGGAGAAAAAGGTATTTGTGCTTAGAGTAGATAAACTTTATTTAGAACTCAACGGCAGACAGTGCAAACTATACAGGGAACTGTAGTGGTAACACAAAGCATCTGATATTTGAGCCTGAAGATAGAATGGGCTTGCATCCATTCATCTAAACTTCCAAATTCTTATCTTTCATTAAATTTGGTCATTTTAAAGATGAAGTATCTAGATCTCTGTAATCTCTGCCTTTCTCTTTCTCCTGTGACCTTGAGCTCATGGTTTTAAGATTTAATATCATGGTCTATGCTTTTATGATAGAATACTAAGGTGAACTACTCTGTATCTTCAACTTGCAGTTGGATATAATGTCTACAGTGTTACTTATTTTACTTTATACTAGAAAAATCTGCTAGAAATATCTGTTTCTATAATATTCCATGCTAGAAAAATCTGTTTCTATAAACAAACGTAAATGATTCTCTCATTCCTCCTATAAAAAAAAAGTGACATAAAGTGTTTCCCAACATGGTTGCTGCCAGGTGTCCTAACTAAATATATTGCCCAAGATAACTGTATCTCTTTAATCTAGCAGCTCAAAGTCTAATCCTGTTTTATTTTCAAATTGAATTTTTATTCTTATTTTATCTTGTGCAAGTTTTAATGTATTGGCTATCTCACTTTTTTTCTAATCATAATTATATAATCACTTGTATATGTTAAGTTTTAACTTTCTTTTTTGCCTCTATTTTTTCTGAATGAGTAATTTACTCATTCTTTTGTCTTAACTTTTATTCTATATTTATTCTCCTATTACATGGTATGCATCTCCATAAATCGCTTCAAACCCTTGGAAGCTGGCAAAAGCTAAGAGCCCTTCATTGGGTACCCAGGCCTCTTTAGTAAACTGGATGTGTCCACATTGCTTAGTCATTGACCCTGTGACTTCTGAATCCGGGGAGCTTACAAACCCATTTGATCATCATTCTCTTCCATAGGACTCAGAAATGCATGATGGTATCTCTCCCATCTAGCCTTGGACAACTCTGAAAGACCCCCATTATCTGTCAGTTGCTTTCATTGTAATGAGTATTTATCATGGGACTCTTCCCTTCTCAGACTGAGTTTTCCTTTTTACTTGTTTTCTCTTTAGGACATTCCTTGATTTATGTATTCATTCAATGAATAGTTGCTGACTGCCTAATATATGACATATGATACAATGAGCTGAGATCATAGAGAAGCATTAACATTAGAGAATGGAAGCTAGCTTGTTCTGAGTTCCACTGAGTCCTTGGCTGTGACTTGGAAAAATCCTTACACCAGAAATCCATTTAGAACCATGAGACTTGGGCAGCCCAGGTGGCTCAGCGGTTTAGTGCCGCCTTCAGCCCAGGGTGTGTTCTTGGAGTCCTGCGATCGAGTCCCACGTCCAGCTCCCTGCGTGGAGCCTGCTTCTCTCTCTGCCTGTGTCTCTGCCTCTGTGTGTGTGTGTCTCTCATGAATGAATAAATAAAATCTTTAAAAAAAAAGTTTTAGAACCTTGAGACTTGTCACACCATTATGACTTTCATCTCCCTCTTCTTTCATGAGAGCTTCAAATGTAAGCCCCTTCCAAAGACTCATTCTTTCATCCTGATAGTACAACATGCATCCCTCTCTTACTTTTCTATGTTCTCTACACTACACTCACTATAATTTATTTTCCTGGTGTTCTCTGGGACCTCAAGTTCCCTTTATTTAAATCTTCTGCATCTTAAACTTTGCATATACCATCTTAAACTTTGCATATTTGTAGATCCTGTTACTCTTATAGACATCTCAATGAAGGCTCCTTATTTTTTCACCCCCAGAAACTATATTCCTGGGATGAGTATGAAGGAAGTTTGGATCTTTTAAAATCACACTGAAACTTATTTGTGTATAAAGACATTTTTGGAACTTGGTAGTATATTTGGATACTACCTTTCCTTATTCTACTAATCATCTGGCTACCTTTCCACCTTTTTTGGGACAACTTCAGAATCCAGGTTTTTATCCCACACACTTTTGTCATAGTTTTCTGACTTTATTGACTTCAAAAAACTTCATGTCCATGACATTCCAGCTACCCATGTTCATGGCTGCATTATTATCCTTGTCAAAACCCAAACTGTTCCTCCCCTGAAATATTCAATCTTAGACTTCTATTCCTTGACCACAACGTCAATGCCCCACTTCTCTTACTCTGTTTCCCCGAGGGTATATACTATTTCCTTTTTTCAAGATCTCCAGTTCCTATCTCTTCATTTTTTCTCTACATCATCTCCTCCTTTCTGGGTTTGCTTCCTTTCTTATCCATTTCAGACACACTGTCCATCAATTCAATCATTAATTCAGTCAATCACATAGTCACCTCCAGGACTGATGCCACCTAGCCCTGTTTTCTGTTTGAGTGACAGGAGGAAGAAAAATCCTCTCGGTAGTGCTTTAGATTGCGTTCCCTTTCCACTTCTCAATGATCTTTCTCTCTTTGTCCATTTCTTTTGAACTTTTGACTTCTTCCTATCTGCCGGGTATTTCCTTTTGGCATCTAAATGCGATCAGATCTCACATTTAATGAAACACTAATTCTCAAAACAATATCACTCCCAAACTGCTTAATTATCTTTTTTCTTCATAGAAAAATATCATTGCCACAACTTCTGTACCTTTTTCCTAATTGTTCGCTCATTCCTAAACCTACTGCAATCTGACTTAACCCTCTTCTCCCTAGAGGCTGTATTTAGCAAGATTGCCATGAATAACCTGAATATTGCTAAACTCAATTGGCTTTAGTTAAATCCCTCATTGACTTAATCCCTCCTTTATACTTGAAACTCTCTCTTCCCTTGTTTTGACCTATAACTATTGTGATAGCAACAGATTACCACAGACCTAGTGGTTTAAAACAACACAGATTTATTATCTTTCAGGTTTGGGAGTCAATAATCTGAATGGGTCTTTTGGGTTAAAATCAACATTCTGGCAGAGTCACAGTCCATCTGTAGTCCTTTGGGGAATCTGTTTCTGGCCTTTTCCAGCTTCTAAAGATTACCTGCATTCCTTGGTTTGTGGCCTCTTCCTCCATCTTCAAAGCTCATCAGGCCAACTTCTGCTTCCATTGGCACATCTTCTTTTTGATTCTAACTCACCTGCCTCTCTTTTATAAAGACCCCTGTGATTACACTGGACCCACCTAGATAATCCAGAATAATCTGTTCACCTTGTGATTCAAATCTACAAAATCTTTTTGTTATATAAGGTAACATATGCACAGGTTCTGAGGATTAGGACTTGCCCACTCTTGATTCTGCATGACTGACTATGTTTCTACTTTCGCAACCTCTGAGTTTTTTATTTTAATGTAGATGTTCTAACATGTTGACATTCCTGAAGGTTTGGCTCAATAAATTTGCTCTTAATCAATAAACTTCCACTGAATGCTGTTATCAATACCCATAATGTCAACTAAAATTTAAAGACAAATGACTTTCCCCAAAACATTTCTATCCTCTACCTTCTGCTGAACTCCAAACCTGTTATCCTATTAGACATTTCTTGATGGTTTTCACAAGGTGCCTCAAGTCTAACCTATTTACAAACAAGCTCATTACCTTTCTCACAAACCTGCTCCTTTTTCCTAGGTAGATAAATAATCTTCCATTGTGAGTTCATGTAAATGGTGCTCTATTCTTCCATAACAGTGTCCTAGGTCTTGCTGAGTGGAGTGTCAGTCGGTAGCCCTTACCTGGCAGCCATGTTTATTCATTGTGTCCACTGCTCTTCTAACAGCATCATTTATAGGTTCACACTGTTCCACCTGAGTCTTCATATTATGCTCAAAATATGGGCCAATCAGAAAATAATTGTCTCCCCATTCATCTGCTGTGGTTTTGGCCTTTGTCTGAATCACAGTATAGATGCCACCAACTGTTAAAAAGAAAAGGTTCCATTTATCATTCAGGTTAGTATTTCATTTTAAGTGATGAGGCATGGAAATGCGTTCTTATTTTTAAGTTAGCATTTAGGATTTATCAAGCACAAGGGTTTATTTAACTTTATAAAAGAAATCTTTTTAAAGATTTTATTTATTTTTTCATCGGAGACATACAGAGAGAGGCAGAGACATAGGCAGAGGGAGAAGCAGGCTCCATGCACCGGGAGCCTGATGTGGGACTCGATCCCAGGACCCCAGGATCATGACCTGAGCCAAAGGCAGATGCTTAACTGACTAAGCAACCCAGGCACTCCTCTAAAAGAAGCTTTTTAAAGGACACACAAATAGTAACTATTTGGTTTAATTCATGCATATTTTAAAGCCTTTTCTGGGTGCATATCATAGAGCAGCAGGTTGACAGCAGCCGAGAAATACAAACATTTCAAGGTAATCTGACAAGATGACTGTAGTAAAAGCAGAACTTGGCCTGAAGGTCTATCTACACTGAAGTGTTAAAGGTGGCTCCAACAGCCATTGTCAAGACACACACTCTCAGCAACTGTAGTCACCTTTTACTCCTTCTCCTACACTGCTCCAAGAGGGGGTTGGGGTATGTTCAAGTAACAGCCACTGTTGAAATTATGAATAAGTCTTTCAAGCTAAAGAGCCACTTACCTTGGAAGGTACCCAACAAGGCACCTTTTGACAAGAGAAAAGAGGTGATAGCATTTAATAGGGGAATACTTGGCCCAACCCTCATGTCAAGCCCAGTGACTCACATACAAATTTTCATGTGGTCTTTCATTTTTCCCCCTCTGGCACTGCTCCCATGACTTTTGAAACACAGAGCTAGGGGCGCCTGGGTGGCTCAGTCAGTTAGATGTCTCCCTTTGGCTTGGAATGTGATCCCAGAGTCCTGGGATCGAGCCCCATGTTGGGCTCCCTGCTCAATGGGGAGCCTTCATCTCCTTCTCCCTCTGCTGCTCCCTCTGCTTGTGCTTGCTCTCTCTCTCTCTCTCTGTAAAATAAATAAATAAATTCTTAAAAAAAATAAAACACAGAGCCAAAAAATACATATACTCTAGAAAAACATGGATACTCCGGATTCAGCATGTCTACATCTAGAAAATCATTTGGGGAATTAAGAATGCCAAAATATATGTGTATTAGGATATTTATGGAAGCATTTTCATACTGAAAAATTTGGAACAACTTAAATTGAACTAGTTAACTCAATCTGTCTAAGGCTCCATTAGCTCATCTGTTCAGCGGGAATAAAATATTACTTAGTTTAGGGGCAAAAGGCAGGTTGTAGCAGCAGTATCACAGAATAGGGCGCATTGAAAAGGTGGTATTTGAGTAAGTATTTAAAAGGGTGAAGAAATGAGGCAAGCATCTATCATGGGGAAAAACTTTTTAGGCAAAGAGTAGAGTTAGAGCCACGACCCTAAGTTGAAAGCATAGCATGCAAGTGGAGAGTAATAGGCATTTAAAAGGAAAGGTTTGAGAGGCCACAGCTAGGCAGGAGGACCAAGGAGAAGAAGACCTCAGTAAACTTAGGGAGGATATCTTGTGCTGGCTCTAGGCAACCATCTTGTGTGAGAATATGAAAATGGTCTGAATCAATTTCTTGAGCAATTCTCAGTCCATGGGCAATAGGTGAGAAAACAACTCAAGAAATGCTGTGTGAAATTCCAGAGCCAAACAGATCCTGGCACCAATCTTTAATTCCGTTTCCTAGAGTGATTTTATTACTTGTGTATTTAAAAAAAAAAAGGTTCCCATTTTTACTATGAGTTTTCATAAGTTATTTCAATTCATCAGGATATACAGGTCGATAGCAATTGCATCTCTTACATTGTTTCAGTAATTTAGGCTTTAAATAGTCATACCAATAATCACAATCTATGGCCAAAAGCTAGAATTTGCCATCTGCAAATTTTTTGTTAAGCCCAAACCACTCAAAATATACTTTGTGATAAATTGCTATTTAAGAGATAAGCCACAAAATGCAAATGTTGGCACTATTATATAAGTAACAAGATTCATTAATATAACTCAACAACATGTAATTATTACATGCAAACGATTTTAACATGAGCCTACATAAACTTACTGTCTTTAAGAACTTCATGTCTAAGAAAAGACTTTGTGATTATGGAAAATTTAAAGAAACTTAAAACTATCACTTGAACAAAGAACGATAAGAACATTCAATCACAACTCAGATGGCAGGTGATGAGAGTAGCATGGGACATGTGAAGATGATTTGTAAACCCTGCAAGCAGAGGCTTCTAGACTAGACCAGGACAAATGTGACTCACTTACGCAATCAATAATGAATCTGAGGCTACATAAATTGATGCCAGCATCAGGTATGCCTAAATATTTCTCCAAATTCCAGAAAATTTTATGAACTGTCAAAACCATTTGTGGAGGAAAACAAATTTAGAGAAATAATTTGCAAGAACAATCAAAAGATTTTTCTTTAAAGTATATGAGTCACATCTTGGCAACATATTTAAACATATATAAGCTTTATTCATACTTACTATCCATGCAAAGGCAAAATTTTCAAATAATTTCTTCTGTAGACTTATTTCCTTCACCTTTATCTTATCAGGGGGTTATGTTACCAGATTCTGATGGCACATATTTATATTGCCTGATTCACATTTCTATTCTTAAAACTCTTTTATTTGCAACTATGTATCTTGCCCAGAGATCTTAGGACATCCTTGTTTGTTAAACTATGTGTTTCAAATTCAAATACACTTGAGTAAATGCAAACACATTTTTATTTGCTGAAGGACAAAAAGGAGAAGAGAAATTTTTTACTCAAAAAAAAAAAAAGAATGATTAGATGTGGAAATTGAAATGCAAAGTTAAACGCTGTTGGTTAATTTGCTTCTTCTTTTTCCCATTTGAGGCCTTCAAACTTGATAGAGATAGTCCCCAGCTAGCCTTAGAGTGTTCATAAATACTATGGATACATTCTTTCAGTCTATCAGGAATAAAAACATAAAATTTTTAAAAAGAGTCAATCCTACATTGGTTGAGGCCTAATGGTAAATGAATCATTCCCCCCTAGACTCCTTCATGTACAGACTTTTTGGGAGGAGATCATCTTACCACTATTTCATATGCAAGCTCCATTTTACGTTCTTTCTGTCCTCCCCATATTTGTATGCCAACTACTTGCCCTCAGCGTTTAACTTTGTCTGGATACCAAACTTACCCCAATCTCCTCTCCTGGCATGCTAATCATAGGTAAAATGGCATAGAAATAGGGTAATTCCTATTTTCAAATTTGGAGTATAAGCCAGAGGTTCCCCAACACATATTTTTTAATGAATTATTGTTTTACCAGTGTAGGTCATTGAATTTGGACTTACCCTTCACTTTCAAACATGTACTTTGTATCTTATTGATCTATATTTTCCTGCAACAGCATGGGAGCTATCTTTAGTGTGAGGGCAAAGTATCAGGCCTTTCATAAGAAAGAAAAGATGAGGTCCCATGGCATATGCCATGGAGATAGCAAAAACCCCAAGTTTTCATCTAGAAACACTGCTGATATTGCTAAAATTAGGATTCCAAAGCAGTATGGAATGTGGATACCAGCTAAAATAAGGCTATACACACACACACACACACACACATATACATATATACTCATGCACACACATACATATAATATATTATAATACATATAATATATTGTGTATTATTCTAAATATATATTATGTATAGCAAGGATATACAGTTGACCCTTGAACAATGTGGTGGTTAGTGGTGCCAACACCGCATGCAGTCCAAAATCCACATACAAGTTTTGACTCCCCAAAAACTTCACTTCTAATAGCCTACTATTGACCCGAAACCTTACTGATAACAGAAACAACACATATTTGTATGCTATATGTATTTTATACTGTATTCTTACAATAAAATAAGCTAGGAAAAGAAAATGTTATTTAAGAAATCATGAAGCAGAGAAAATGCACTTACAGTACTGTATTTATTGAAAAAATCTGCATATAAGTGGACCCATTCATTTCATAATTGAGTTGTTCAAGGGTTGACTATATTTTATATATAAACTGTGATAATTATCACTATTTTTTAAATGCTTAAAAGTTGCAGAATTGGGAAGTTATATGAGTTCAGTGTACAGAGCTACTAATCTGGCCCTCTTGTCTCAAGGAGACAGAACAGCAGAACAGTGGTAGTCATTTTACCGTTAGACATCATTCTCTGAGGTAGCAAACCTGATAGGAAAGAGTAAATGTTACTACAGGCAACAATGGTCAACAAATGTTTATGTGTCTAGAGCTTTGCTGGGTCTGTGATTCAAAATGAAGCATCTGCAGTCTTGGGCAGTGGGAGATGACATACTTAAAGCAAAACTATAGATACCTCCCACCCTGATTATACCACAGTGGTAACTCTAGATGTTTTAGACAGGAGGGGCTCAGACATGGTAATTTGGATGAAAAAGAAGTGAGGAGACTAGTGCTCATCTTGAAGATATGTGTGTACCAAGCATGGGTTTTGCATAGATTATGTTTTATGTGGTGAAGCTTGGGATGCCACTGATATGGCCACCACATATTCATGCCAGGCAAAGGAAACTTGACCCCTACTTTAACCCTGATCCATATCTTTCCCCCCTCTTGCCTTTTGCATTTAAAAACAGAAGGATGGAATTGCTCAAAGTGAAAGGCAGCGTGAAGATGAATGATCCAACTTCTTCATTTGATGAATGAATTTTATGAAGAAATAATCATAAACTAACACCTACAAGGCATTTACTAAGTGTGGGGCACTGTTCTAAGAGATTTACAGTTGACATTTCTTTTAGTTTTCACAACCCCATTATAGGTAGGTGCTATTATTATCTTCATTTTTAAATAGAGAAACTGAGGCACATAGAGGCTGTGAGACCCATCCAACATCATACAGGTAGTGATGGAGTTGGGATTCCAATCCCCAAAGTCTGACCCCAGAGTCCACAGGCTGTAGACAGCAAGACTGCAAGTAACTATCTGGAGTAAAGTATTAATAGATTTTTAAGAGTGGTAGGTGGGAGGGTCAGAGGGAGAAAATAAGTGGTATCACGGAAAGATAAATATCTTTAGGTCTTGGGAAAGGTGGAATCCTTTCTATTCTGCCCTAGAGAAAAGCCATTTAAAAAACAGTACTTAGTGGAAATAGCTTTTTTATTTTGGCACTTGCATTTCTGGTTAACAAAAAGGAACCCAGGGTTTGGGGAACTTGAGAGCAGTGGTTCTCACATCAGTCACTGAGGCTTTTGGAAATCTGATGAAAGCATTCAGTCCTCTTCTCCAAAGGAGGACGTACACACACCACTTTCAGATATAATTTTAAAAGTTTACAAACTCTTTGAAGCCCACTTGTATCAAGGTCCAACCTTCAGAACTCCCGCCTCAGAATAGCAGACTCACAGTTATAATCAGTTTCTATCATATCATCTTGATTGTAGTTTTCTGAGTTTTTCCATATGCCTTTCATACCATGTGACCCAGAGCTATGGCATCCGTTTTGAGAAGGAAGAAAATAGAAGTATTATATGCATTATATTACATGTTGGCCTAGGGCTAAAATGAATTGTGTTTAGTAATTTTTTTTTTTTTAGAGAGAGAAAGTGTGTGAGTGCATGGGGGTGGGAGGAGAGAGGCAGAGGGAGAGAAAGAACCCCAAGCAGATTCCACACCACACCCAGCACTCAGCCTCACACAGGGCTTGATCCCAGGAGCCTGAGATCATGAACTAAGCTGAAACCCAGCTTAGTTTGGTTCACTTAAGTTGGTCACTTAACCGACTGAACCACCCAGGCGCCCCTATTTTTAGTAAAATTTTAAAAAGAAGCATTCATTTAGTGACTATACTTCAGAATTATTCACATGTATTAAATTAGTAATCATTAATTGTGACAATATTCACTAAAGTCTTTTTAATCTCAGATATCCTTAATATAATACAAATATTGTGTAGTCTACCATGATTTGGGCAGATCGGAGAAAATAAACCTTTTTATTTCTAACATTTGGGCAAAACTCTCCATCCTAGATCATGCCACAGTCTCTAACTTGTCTGCTACTTTCCCGCATCCTCTCACCCAACTAGTAACAGTGCTTTTTCAAAAACACACCCGAGTTAGCACTTCCCACTATTTAGAAATTCAATGGCTTCCTATCATTAATCATAAATTTCACAAACTCCCCCCTGCTGGTCCCTCCCATCTGCTCTCACCCTCCACTCCTTTCCCTCTCTCAGCTTCCCTCAGATCTTTAAACAGAGTACACTTTCTCACCTCTGCATCTTGGCACATCCCGCTCCTTCACAAAGAACACTGAACCGTCTTTATCCTTCCTCCATTGTCCTTATCAAGTGGCTATTTATCCTCCACGTGTCAGTTCAACTGTCTCTTCCTTACAGAAGTTTCATCTCCTAACCTCAAGTTAGGTAGATACCTCCATCCCCTGCCCCCAGTGTATAGTCCTGGAGCATCTTGTTCTTTCATTCTTACTGTAATCACATTTGACTCTAATTGCATGTTCAGTCTCTACCTGCACAAGTTTGTAGATTCTGGAAGACTGGGGATCAGTTGTGCATTGTTAAGCTCTATCTCCTTCATTTTCCAGTGCCTGACATCTAATAAATCAACACTTGATGAATATTTATTGAATAATAAATGAAGAGCAATAATAAATGTTTAAATGAATAAAAGCAATAGATGTCAAGGGTAATATGAACAAGTGTTATTTGAAGTCTGAGAATGAATATCCAATAATTTAACTGTGACTCTCTCGTTTGTAATAGTTTACACATATTCATTGTTCACTGGCAAGATTATGGCAGAAAGGGATTTTTTTTCTGTAAGAAATCTTTTGTTTTTTTTGGATCTGAATAGAGTTCATTGCTTGCCATGAAACATCATAAGAGAGCTGGATCATGTTACATTAGTTTCATTCAAGAAGAAACTTGATATTCAGATGATTTAAATAATTTTTTTCAAAGTCTTAGAAATTTATGGCCTTTGATTGCACGTCCTATGTTCTTTCATCTATAGGACATTTCCTTAGGCAATGATTTTAATTTTTAATTTTTGTGTGGTAGTAAAAAAGAGAAGTGAGTTTGAAGAAGACCTAAATGCTAGTTCCAGCCCTGACATTTGCTTGATCATCTAAGCCTGCGGCATCCATTTCATCTTTGAAATAGAGGAGTTGGATTCTAAGATGCTGCATATCACTGCCATGAACTGCGGGGAGATAAAAGTAATGTTTTTAAAAACTGTATTTATAGTGTCAGTGTATTGTCAGGGATGAACACAATAGTTGTCCTTTTATATAAAAATTTCTAAACTATCAGATGGTAATAAATATCAGCATAAAGATATGTTGGAGATGATGTCAATTGGATAAATCACATCGTGGTTCTCTTCTCCATAAAACAATTTCCTTTCCCTTGTATGGGAAAAGCAAGAAAATTGGTTCAAAGGCATGTAGGGCTGAAAACAAAATGTATTTGTTCTTCATTCCAAAGAAAAAAAAATCCATGGAGCATTTTCTGCCCACCAGTCACCATTCTGGGCCCTGAGATCAGCCTGCGCGTCGCCAGGATATAAGCTCCATGGAATAACAGTATTTGCCAGGGTGTTCCTAGCACTGGGAGACAATGCTCCATTAATGTTTGCTAGATGGAGAGAAAAGGAGGAGAGAAGGAAGGAGAAGGGATTCTGTTCAGGTACTGGAACTCACGCAGGGGCTCTGGTCTAAAAATCCACCCCCCCCGCCCCCCGTTTTTTTCTGCCAATAAGCTATATCCTTGAGTTCCTGCCTGCTCTGTAGGAAAAAACCTTCATTTCAAGTCGTAGACTGGGATTTATGTATAATAGAGATGACTCCATTCCCAGGAACTTTGGGCATTTTAAACACCAGGTGACTAGGAAAAGAACATTAGAAACAGCTCTTCACAAAACACTTCTCTGTAATAAAGTTTCTATTCTCTTTGCTTCCACACTACAGAGAAGAAGCCTGCTTTGTTCTCTCACATTCATTCCCGCATTTCTACCCAAGCAGGATTAATTTTTGTTTATTCTGATTGTATGATATTATTAATTTTATTAAAAATTTGCTGCATTTTATGAACTTTGAATACTTAGCATAAGGTGAAAATCAGAACTGGTGCCGAATAGAATTCCTCTAAGTTTGAAATTCTCTCATTCTTCTTAATAGGAGCCCTGTGTAATGCTTTCTGAGCAGCTAGTAGGTTAGAACTTTAATTCCAAGCTGGTAATGAATTATTGGCAACATTATTAATAAGTATTTTGTATCATCTTTAATGGTGCATGGCATTAAGGTTTGTAAAGAGTCCCAATCGCATGCGGTTCTCCCTAAACTAAAGTACTTGGTTATGCTTTTTTGTTGATAGAAAGCATAAAACCAAAAGAGTAATAGTAGCCTTTCATTTCTGTTTGGCCATAATATGCATTTCAAATTTTAGTTTAAATGCACATTCCCAGACAACAACTAATATCTTCAACGTTTTCTCCCTTCGATACACAGCCGCATCTAAGTTCTCGGTGGCCTGTTGGAATAGTCAAGGTTAAATGTAACCTCAACTTATATTCAGTTTGAATACTTTCCTCACTCACCACCAATTCATTCTCACTAGAGTCACCTGTGAAATCCTAATACATTCTTCAGCAATCTGGCAAATAGCCACCTTCCAGGGTAGTACAAACCTTTGTTGGTTACTTCCCAAGCGACTTCAAAAAGCAGTAAATCCTCCACAGGAAGCTCTTCAACTTCCCACTGAGGCAGCCCACTCAGGGATGTCACAGATAGAGATCGGCCTCGGAGCATTCTTTTTCCAGTTCTCTGAAACTTTTTTGAATCCTTTTTTCAACAAATTGTGATCCCAGGAGCGGTGTGCCAACAGCCACACGGGTTCAGGGTGGAAGATTTCAGGCTTGGGGAACTTCTCACAGGTATAAACCAGTCAAATGAAATCTCATGTGCTTCCCAGAGAACTCTCAGGTTAAGGAGGAATTTTCAGCTCCTGTTTCTGAGCAGGTCCAGTGAGGACAGTATCTCCAATCAGTATTGACCTGAGCAACTCTATCACATGTATAATCCTCAGGTTTGGGGCTTAGCAAGCACTCCTTCAGAAGGTGGAATCCTCATAGGCTGAGCATGACACAAATCCAGACCTTTAGCCCTTGTCCTTTTGACCAAACTCCTAGACTCATACAGTCATCAATGCTTATTTCGTCACTTCTAAAGTGATCCAAGATTTGCAAATTCCCCTTATTAAGTTTATAGACCACTTTGGATTACATGTAGAATTCACTGGGACTGTTTTTAGTGCCTTAAATCCCTTTAAATTTCCTAAGTATGCTTTTGATTCCTATTTCTGGAGCATTAAATTATTATAGTCTATGCTTATCATCTAAATTTTGATGTTAGGCAGAGATCTTGGTTCCTCTCGTCTTAATTACTTTTATTAAAAAGTATGAAAAAAGTATAAAACCCAGTGTGTCTTTGGTTATAACATAGAAAGTGTATAATTTTGACCAAGCGATGGAAATTAAAAAATAAAAAACTGTTTTCAAAAGTTTAATCAGATAGCCTGATGATTTTTTCACTCATTCCCACTCTCATTACTCTGATTTTTTGAAATTCCTGGTCTTCAATTCTCATTTGGGGTTTAGGCTTCCAGTAAGCATTGTCAACAACATAGCATCTCCTAACGACCCTTCAAAAATAGACTTATGTAATTCTTTTGATCCTATAATTCCTAACATGAGATTGCCCTTTACCAATTCTTTTCAATGGTGAATACTATTTTCAAAATTGTTCCTTGAGTCAAGAGGGGTGAAATAAATGGAACTAAATTAAGTGTGTCCATGGTATAGATCTTCATCTATCCATGTTATGTGAGTGAATCCTCTTCTTTCGTGTGTGTGTCTGTATGTTTGAGAGAGACAGAGACAGAAAGAGAAGGAGAAAGAGAGAAAGGCAGTAATTTATGCAATAAGATTTAGAGAGTAAAAAAAAAAAAAGATTTGGAGAGTAATCAGAAAAAGTTCTCTGCTTTCCATATTCCTGAATATTCTCCTCTAAGATTTGTATTAAAAACACAAACTGATAGATTGGGAGTTGAAAGAGAATAGTCACTCAGACAGAAAGTCAGATTGAGTTCCTCCAAGATGGGAGAAGGATTCTCAAAAATTCTAATCCCTAATTTCACACTCACACTAACATTTTATCATTCAATGAAAAGTAAGTGAGAGGGCAATTAGGGAAAAATGAAGACTTGTATTTGGTTTCCTTGGTAAATATTCCAGCAGAGGTCACTAGATACATTTAGAAAATCACACATCTGCTTTGACAGTGTATAATCTTGTAAGTCTTTAAGATATTGAAGGCTTGATTAGCCTGCATCTACATATACAAAAGAGTCAGTTAATGTATTTATAGAACACCTACTATGTGCTGCTATTCTAGAAAGTGAAGGTATTTTAATAAACAGTAAACAAGTCCTTGCCTTCATGTGAACAGGTAGACAAAAGAGTTACCTATCTCTCTGGAAAGAGTTAGTCACCCTGAGAAGTTCAGTCACATTTTGTGATGTTTTTGTCAATGTTCACCTGTCCTTAGTTTTCCTATTAAATTTTCAATAAAATCAATATGACCATTTTTTAAAAAAAATCAGTTAAAAAATTAGAATCTGGAGCAAAAGTGTGTAAAGATGACAGCAAACGCTGCCAAAAGTGAAAGCCAAATGCTGTATGTTTACCAGAAGGTTGTTAGAGAGATAGCATATTGAAATAGTTAAAAATAAAGGCTTTGGAGATGGGCTTATCTCAGTGAGAATTGGACTATTTACTAGCCTGTAACGTAGGGGTGATAATATTTACCTCATGAGGATGTTGTGAGGGTTAGAGAAGAGAATGTATGCATGTCCCTCCTCGAGTGTCTTCCAAATCTTGCTTCTCAGAATCCAGAGATTGCAATGTAGATATATGAATTTGACTATTGGCAGCGCAGCTCAAGCTGCTAATCTGCCTCCTGCCCTGGTCTCAATTCAGAAGACCATTAGCTGGCTGTCGTTAAATTCCCTTTTCTCCCAGCTCTACTTAGAAGCAGGGATACTTGTGTGGAGGTTAGAAATACCAAGTAGAGGCTTGCTTTTCTGATATTCTCCACCACATTCAAGATTGCCAAATATTTTTACACGGTGATTTTATACTAAACGGAGGTGTATATATACTATGCAGAAGCTTATCAAACATATATATGTGTGTAAATACCAAATATGACAAGGATAACAAGTCAAATAATGTGTGTGATGGTGTTAAAATGTTTTCCTTCCTAAATGGTGTCATGGAAATGGTTGGTTTAGTAATATTCACTTGTTCTTTTTTAACATAATGGAAAGAAACTCTACTGGTGGTATGGCCTTTGCACTAAATCAGTTTTCTGTTGGATATAACACCTGTTGGTAATTACTCTGTTTACCTTCCATGTCATGGCTCAGTGTTGTTAAGTAAACCTTCCCAATCTTGCTGAAACCAGCAGTACATGAGACCTCAAATAATTCTTTTACCATCAATGTTCATCAGATGTCTCCTTGAGATGATGTATTTTTTTAATTTAGCTCTGTCAACCTCATAATTCTCCACTTTTGTGTGTAGAAGGCGTAAAAGCTTGTTCTCATTAAATACAAATGAGATATGGATATCTGGATATGATGGTGTCAGAACAACAGGAAAAGTCATGATAGTCCTAGAAATTACCTAGCCTTATTATAAACACAATTCTGAGGTAAAAGATTGTAAAATTTAATATTAGATTATATTCACATTTAAAGTTTTTTAAAAATCGTATCTTTCACAATACCAATTTCGGGTTATTTCTCAAGTGCTACATTTGGAAGAGAAGTAATTGGCAATTCCATTTGCTCTTTGACTAGACAACAAGTTGTTCTTATAACACTGAAGTGGTTCCCAATGAATACTGTGGAGTCACTTTCCTGATAAGTGGTTATACAATCTTTTAGTGTTAATGTAGGTTGGAAGATTGAGAAGAGGGGAGAGGTATAGAGGGGGTATTAAAAAAAAGGCCTAAAGATTTTTTTTCTAAGCCCATGCACTAGCCTACATACGGTAAATATGTTCTATTGTTTTGAGAGGCCTTCCTAACATAGTACAATGAAGATAAGCATGTGTGGAAGTATATGCTTCATCATATTGATAACTTAGTGATTAAGAACATGAGTTTGATTTTTGGGGGGTGTGTGTGTGTGTGTGTGATCCCAGGTTATTACTTTAAATTAATTCAATGTTTCACCAAACATGTATAACTACTTAGTTAAATCCACAAATGAATGAATAAATCAATTAAGAATAAATGAATGATTGGTTAAAGGTAGTGTTGTTCTACTATCTACAGGGCATGTTAACATTATTACGGGGAAAAAAAGTTTTTCCTTCATATTTTTTTAGAGATGTTACTTAGAAACATTAGCTTTTCTTGCAGAACCAAAAGTTTATTTCATGAATAAAAGCAAACTTTAAGAATGCTTCCTCTTTAGAAGATGTACTAACTTGGTTTTCCCACTCCTGCTGGGAAGATGGCCACCTGGCTGAGAACACATTTCTCAGCTTTCTGGAGACCAGCTGTAGACATGCTACTGATTTTTCATCAAAGGAATGTGAGCGGAATTGATTTGTGCCCCTGACTTCAGATTTCCCCCAAATGCCTTCATTCTTGGAAAAAAAAATATTTTCTCCCTGAAAATACATCATATAATATTATAATTAGATAAATAGTAATTCTAATATAAGGGGCAACATATTCCTGAGGGTGAACCAAACAAGAAAGATAAAGTTAACTGCAGTATGAGCAGATATCTCTCAGGTAAGTTCAGGAAATGAATGATCAGAATACAAATTCTAAAATAACCAAGGAAGAGTTAAATTACAGAGAATCAATTATCTCATTGGCAAATAGCCTAGCAGTTCTTACCTTCAGGGGAGAGATGGGCAAATAGAAACAAGTTAAATTATGCAATTAAAAAGTGATGTTGAAGGGTGCCTGGCTGGCTCAGTCAGTAGAGCATGCAACGTATGATCTTGAGGTCATGAGTTTGAGCCCCACATTGGGCACAGAGACTACTAAAAAATCAATAAACTTAAAAAAAACTGATGTTGAGTCCTTAAATCCTAGATCAAATTCATGTCTAGTTTGAAATTCAAAGATGCTGTTTTTTTTTTCTGAAACCATTAGAAACTCAACTTTGCAATTGGTTAAAATCAGGTCTTGATTCAGGAATAGAACATACAGCTTTCATAAGAATACTTGTGGAAGGGCTCCTAGGTGGCCCAGTCAGTTGTGTCAGACTCCTGGTTGCCACTCAGGTCATGATCTCATCAATCTTGGGATCAAGTTACCCTCACCTTCCCCCGCCCCCACCCCCACCCCAAGTTGAGCTCTGCTCTCAGCCTGAAGTCTGCTTGGAAGATTCTCTCCCTCTGTCCCTCCCCCCAGTCATGCTCACTCTCTCTGCCTCTCAAAGGACAAACATTATATGGTCTCATTCATTTGGGGAATATAAACAATAAATAAATCTTAAAAAAAAAGAATACTTGTGGAAAAATAGAAAAAGATCTTGAAAATTGTTTTTAAAGTGTATTTTGTCTCACACTAGGTAAATCTCAATGAGGAATTTTAAAAATATCTAAATAGCTTTATAAGACAAAAAGTCTACATGTTTGAAACTAAGTGAATTCTACAAGTGAGAAAATTTTTTTTTAGGTTTTTGCTCACTATTGGTTCAATATCTAGCACAGTTCATCACCACAGGAACTCTGGGGACATACTGAGATATATGTATCAATCTGTGAGATAAAATTAAGAAATTTATCTTAATTGTGTAGAATATTAGAAACTTACTTCTACCAAAATCCATCATTTAAACTTTTAAAATGCTGCTTCTCACATGAGAAAATGCTCCGCATCACTGGCCATCAGGGAAATACAAATCAAAACCACAATGAGATACCACCTCACACCAGTGAGAATGGGGAAAATTAACAAGGCAGGAGACCACAAATGTTGGAGAGGATGCGGAGAAAAGGGAACCCTCTTACACTGTTGGTGGGAATG